AATATCACAACTTCTGTTAGTATTATTAATAAAGCACCCATTCAAAATGTTGTATTCCTTCTTCAAATCACTCACAATCCCATCTTCAAATTGCTAACAGGACAAAATAGTACTTTCAGGATGAATGTTTCTAAAACCAATAACCTAAAGTTTTCAGCACTTTAACATTGTAGCTATTGTCTTATCAGTCTGCATCTGTGGGTTAAGTGGATTCACAGCCACTGTTCTTCAGCAATTACCAAAGAATCATCAATTACAAAGAGGAGGTCTGTTCACCAAGAACACAAACCACCTAATTATACACACACCTACCAAAAAGCTTCAAAATACAAGACGTAAGACCAAAGGAAATGCAGCCACAAACAGATATATTCACAATTATGGTTGGCAACATCAACACTCCTCTGTTATAAATAGAACAAGTAAACAGAGTATGGGCAGAAAAGCAAAAGACCTGAACAACACTCAGCAGCAGACACGCTCACTTCAACTGCCATGCAGTATCACCAAAATATACCATGTTTTGTCCAGAAAATAAGTTACAACAGATTTGCAAGAAGTAGAATCACACATGGAATATTTTTGGACATAATGGAAAAATCTCTGGTAAATTAAACAACATAATTACATATAAGCCATAAATCAAAGAAGGTATCACAAGGAAAATTAGCATATTGAACTGAATGAAAACAAAATATATCAAAATATGTGAGAGGCAGCTAAAGCAATGTTTAAAAGAACCCACATAATGTTAAAATTATTTTATTAAAAAGAAAGAAATATCTCTAAGGATCTAAGCTTTCACTTTAAGAAACTAGAATAAGAAAATCAAATTAAAATACAATGAAACAGCATAAATGAAAGTGAAAAGAGCAGAAGTCAATGAAACCAAACAATCTCCAAAAATATCAATAATATTGACAAATGTCTTGCTAAAATAAACAAGAAGAAACTAAGCATAAACTACCCAATATTAGGAATAAAGAAAGAATACCAGCAAAGAGAAATTTTCAAATGATTGGTCACAATATATTATGTTTTTTATGTTTTGCTAGATTTGAATTAATACTTTGCTGAAGATTTTTTTTGTGACACTGGAGATTGAACATAGGGCCTCACAAAAAGACTACTGCTTCTGTGTTTACATGAGACACTGCTCTTCTTGCTGTGTTTCTGGTTTTCTTATCATGGTAATTCTAGCCTTATCAACTTAATAACTTAATCTGTTTTCTGTAGAACTGGTATAAAGTTCTTGAATATTTGGTAAAATTTACCAGTGATGTCTCTGGGCTTGGAATTTTCTTTGGGGAGAAGGTTTGCAACTGTGGATTTAATTCCTTTAATAGATGTAGGAATATTTATCTTATTTATTTCATTTTGAGTGAGTTTTGATAACTCGAGTCATGTAGAGAATTGGTCCATTTCATCTAAGTTTGCAAATTTTCGAGCATAAGGTTGTTTATAATATTCCCTTACTATCCTTTCAAAGTCAACAAATAAATGGAATTGAAAACAAAAGAAATACTAGCAATTACAAACACTTTAAAAATATATTTCAATATAAATCTAATGAAATACATCCAGGATTTGTATCTGAAAACTACAAAACATTCATGTTAAAAAAAAATGAAAGCCTAAATAAATGAAAAAATATTCTGTACTGATGAACCAGAAAATTCAATATTATCTAGATTATCAATTCTTCCCAAAATGAGCTACTACAGCAACACAGTCTCAACCAAAATCCCAACAAGATTTTTTTTTTTAGAAATTGACAAAATAATTCTAAAATTTATATGGAAAAGCAAGTGAGCTAGAATAACCAAGTGAACTCTCAAAAATAAGAATAAAGTTGGAGGAATCTCATTATCTAATTTCAAGACTTACTATAAAGATACGATTATAAAGCCAGTGGGGAATTCATAAATAAAAGACAAACACTTGGATGAATGGAGCATAATAGAGTCAAAAATAGATATGAAGGTAAAAATATTCTATTAATTTTCAACAAAGATGCAAAGACATCAGTGAAAAAAGGATAGTGTTTTCAAAAATGGTCATTTTATAATGTTAAAGGGATCAATTTACTGAAAGAACACAATCAAAAATTTTATGTATGTAATGGAGCTTCAAAATACATGAAGCAAAAACAGATACAACTGCAGGGAGAAATAGGTAAATACAAAATTATTACGTAGGATTTCAATGCACTTTTCTCAACAACCAACAAAGCAGACAGAAAATCAGAAAAGTTTTAGAAGATTTGAACTATCAACTAACCTGAGCTAACTAAAACTATACAGAATCCAGGTCATATTGCCTGATATGTATTAAATAAATAAATTGAATTAGTAGTTTATAAATCCATATTTTATATATATATATACATACATACATACACACACGTATGTGTGTGTGTGTGTGTGCGTGTGTGTGTGTGTGTGTGTGTAAATTCTACCAAGCACATAATGAAGAAATAACGCCATATTCACACAAACTTTTCCAGCAAATAATCAGGAAAGTCCCAGCTCACTCTATGGGGCCAGCATTAACTCCAATTCCAAAATCAATGAAACTTCAAACTTATGTTCTTTGAACAACACTGTTAGAACAATGAAAAGACAGCTCCAGAATGGCAGAAAGTATCTCCAAATGATAAGAAAGTAGTATACAGAAAGTATAAAGAACACATAAAAATCAATAGTAAGAAAAAAAATTATTGTGTAAAAGATTTCAACAGACAAGTCACTAAAGAAAATCTACAGATAGCAAGTAAACACAATGAAATACTAAACATCATTATTCATTGGAAATGCAAATTAAACCCCAAAGAAGTATCACTCATCTACTACAATTGCTAAACTTTAAAAAAGACTAACCACACCAAGTATTGGTGAGGATGTGAATTAACCAGAGCATTCACACACTGGTGGGAACACAAATGATAGAACTACTTTGGAAAACAGTTTGCCAGTTTCTTTTAAAAGTTAAATATATATATATTTGCCATATGATCCAGCCATTCCACTCTTAGGTATTTCCCCAAGAGAAATGAAAATACATGTCCATTCCAAGACTTGTAAATGAAAGTTCAGAGAAATTTTATAAGGAAAAGCCAAAAATTAGAAACAATCCAAACACCCATCAGCAGGTGAAGGGACAAAAAAAAAATTGTGGTGTATCCACACACTGGGACAATATTCATAAATAAAAAGAAATAGTCTACTGATAATCATTGATGAATCTCAAAATAAATACACTGTACCTAGAAGCTAAGCAAAATGAAGTACATAATGTAGGAATCCACTTATATAAAATTCTAGAAAATACAAACAAATATATATCAAGAGACAGTAGATGCATAGTTATCCAGGGACAGGAACAAGCAATTAGAAGGAAAACGAGGTATTTAAAGCTTTTGATGTGACTGATATCTTTTATGATTTTTATTGTGGTGGTAGTTTCAGATATATATAGATATACAAAAAATACAAAACTTAAGATTACAAACTTAAAAAATTTCACATTGTACATTTTAAACTGTACAGTTTATTGTATGTCATTATACTTTAGTAACTCTTCAAAATAACTTAAAGATATTACACCTGTAATTAAAGTCCTTCATTTTCAAGTACTAAGAAGGAAAATTTGTGCTTTAAGAGTATATAATAATGTGTGGCTGGGGTTGTAGGTCAGTGGTAGAGTACATGCCTGGCACGTGTAAAGCACTGGCTTCAATCCTCAGAACCACATAAAAACAAATAAATAAAAATAAAGGTATTGTATATACCTACAATTAAAAATTAAATAAATTTTAATAAGTTTTTTTTTGTTAATGGACCTTTATTTTATTCACCTATTTTCATATGTGGTGCTGAGAATTGAACCCAGTGCCTCACACACGTGAAGCAAGTGCTCTACTACTGAGCCACAACCCCAGCCCAAAAATTAAATAAATTTTTAAAAAAGAGTAAACAACGTATAACCTAATCTCAGGAGTCAGAGAAGCGTCCTTTATAAAGAAAGTAGTACTTAAGAAGTAATAGTTAAGGGGCTGGGGTTGTGGCTCAGTGATAGAGCATTTGCCCGGCATGTGAGAGGCATTGGATTCGATTCTCAGCACCACATATAAAACAAATAAATAAATAAAGTGACATCAATAATTAATAAAAATATTTTTTTAAAAGAAGTAATAGTTGGGCAGGGGATGTGGCTCAAGCGGTAGTGCGCTCGCCTGGCATATGCAGGGCGCTGGGTTTGATCCTCAGCACCACATAAAAATAAAAGATGTTGTGTCCACTGAAAACTGAAAAATAAATATTAAAAAATTCTCTCTCTCTCTAAAAAAAAAAGAGGAAGTAATAGTTAATATTAGAAGGCTAATCAGTTTTTATCCAAGCAAAGACCAGGCAGGAAAAGAGGCTCAAAGAAGTAAACCATATAAAATGCCTGAAGCCAAAAGGAAAGAAACACTTCTCAAGGAACTTTTAAAAACAAAAAGGAATAAAAGAGGGGTGCCTCTTATCTGTCAAAAGGTGTCAGAAACACCTTTCTTCAAAATCCCACTGTATCAATTTGTAATCCTAGAAAGAGTCCATTTGAATTATTTTCAATTCCTATTGTGTGTATACTGTAAAAGGAATCCATCAATATAAATTATCTATTAGACTCTCACTTTGAAGTAAAGACCTGTGGAACAAGGAACATTCTGTTTAACTTTATTATAGTTACTGTGAGTTTCCCTACAATTAATAGAATTCCTTGTGTTTTTTAAACAACATCTTAGAAAAATGTTTACACATTTAATCCTGCCTATCTTTGTTTACAACAACCTAATTTCTGACATTATATCTTCATTTTGCTGTCACCAGAAATAGTTTCATTATAAATATGTGAAATTCAGGATCCAAGTCTGAGTAATCTAAGACATTTTTTTTAATTTTATATATTGATAAAACAGGTAATTTTAGGAAAACATTGAATAAATATAATAAACTTACATTTATAAATAATTCGCAATATAGTGAGATGTTTTCCAATCTTAGAACATTAGGTTATTGTTTACCTAAAGAAATTAGAATTATTATAAGTCCCACATTAGCAAGAAAATGTCTAAGAACACAAAATGGAAATTTATATAAATATGAATCTCAACTATTTTACAAAAATAATTCTAAACTATATTCTAAAAAAAGAATATTGTTCACTCAAATGGATTATAGCAAAATGTTTTCTAGCTAATTCTTTTTTTTTTTTATTTCTTAGTTGGACACAATTACTTTATTTATTCATTTCTATGTGGTATACTGAGGATCGAACCCAGGGCCTTGCACTTGCTAGGCGAGCTATGTGTATACTAAGCTACTCAAATGTAATTTGAATTAAAGTCTATCATACCCTTCATTATATTTCAAATTGGTACTGTCCTTTCTGATTCTCAGTCCTAAGACCTTTAGTCTTAACTGAATAAAGATCATGCTCATTTGTTTTACCTGGTGAGGAATAGCCTGTAATTGTGAATGTTTTAGTCTTTTCAAAGGGAAACAGAGACTGGAATCAATGATAGAAACTGAAGTATCACTTGTGATGCCATTTTTGCTTCTGCATTTCTTCCCCAACCATCAATCTTCCATTGAAAAGAAGGATACTTTATTCCCTAGTGAAACTCTACAGTAGAAAATAGCTAAGTTACCATGGAACCAACCAATTAATTTTGACACCTGCTTACCAAAATTGATCAATCATTTCTGATGTCTGTTTGTAAGGCTGCTATCCTTCAGTTTCATAAAAAGATTTTCAAGGTGATTAGTGAAGTAAGAACTTCTAGTTAAATTCTTTCCCACTGTATTACTATTCAAATAATGGAAAAACAAATCACTATCTTTGAGTAAACCTTTCATAGCTTAGCATGTACATTTTACCAGTAACAAGTCTTTTTTTCTAAATATGATTCTATAACATTAAATACATCTTCTTTACCCCTAAGAGTATACAAGAGAGAGATAGCTGCACCAGTTATATTTACTCTAATTAATAGCTTGTATTCCACAGAGAAATGAAAAACTATTTGCCAACAGAGTACTATGAATTGTAGGAAATAACAACTTCCGAGGAAATTGTAGATGTTCAATGATTAGTTCAAGGTTTATTGTCATATAACCATATCAACATTAAAAACCTATTCTCCTTATACTCAATAACACATTTTGTTTATAAACACCATCTCTCAATATTATATAGGTTACTTTTAACTTGATCTGTAAGTTCT